ATATATATAATTTTTCTCTTCCTTCTTTCTTTTCTCCAGGAGTTTCTTTCCCTTTCTCAGCTATAAAGAAAGATAAACTAGAGGTTTTTATGGGTAAATGGATGCAACTAAAGACTATACTCAAACTTTTGCTTTAATGAGACCATCTCCTTTCACTAAGGACTGAATTTTACTGGCATAGGTCATCTAAAAAGATTTCATCAGGGTAATAAAATTAAATTTTTGATGGAACAACGTTTTTAAAAATAGCTCTGCTGGTTTTCCTGGCCAAAGAGCATGAGACATGATCAAGTCTCCTGTATCATTTCTGTTTGACAAGAGCTATTCAATCTGGCACTTAAGGAAAATGTTAACCACATTTGAAAATCTATGTAAAGAATAGATGGTGTGTATGTAAGACAGCCTGATTGTGCTTCCTGCAATGAATTTGTTGAGATAATTTTTTTCTCCCTTGAGTCTGTAAAGCGAGGGCAATGTCATACCTACCTTGCTGGTTGCTTCTAAGAACTAACTGATTTTAATAGATATGAGAGTATGCACATGTATAAATACACACACATACATGCACTTCATATACTCTTGTATAGTACAGCACAATATAAACACTAATTCTATTTTACCAACACTGGGAGATAGATATATATCTAAAGCTGACTGTGAAAAGGAATGATTCATATCTAGTAGTTCTCATTGGTATAATTTCTTTTCATTAGCTGATATATCTGTGCAGCAAAAGGAAGAAACTAGAAACGTGAACAGAGTTCATTATCTAATCTAGCTGAGAAATAGAAGTCAGCCACATGTGACCAGCCATGACAGTTTGGTAAGAAGTAACTGAATCAGAGAAAACATAAATGATGCTGGTTCTGTGGCAAAGATCATTAATTATACAGAAATTATACTGGAAAACCTTGTAGTCTGGTACAATATACATAATTAAACAGAACTTTATGGTTACAAAGGCATGGATGCATTTTATTTACATGTTTACTTAGATGTTTTTTTCAAACACAGTAAATAATGTCATTCTTTTCATATAAAACATTTAGTGAGTCCAACAATCAAAATTTGCAAAAGCAAATATGTTATTCATTCTTTTAGTTAACATATACATGTGGAAGGCACTATTCTGCACATCAGCATTGTGCAGAACTATTAAATCTG